TCGTCGAGGATGAGGTAGTGGACTCGGCCGGTGCGGAGCGCGCCGTTTGTGATCATGTGGAGCACGCGCCCAGGCGTGCCAACCACGACCTGAACCCCACGCCGGAGCGCCTCCATGGACTCGCGCATCGCCTGGCCGCCGATGCAGGCCATGCTCGACACGTTCATGTACTGGCCGAGGCCCGACACGACCTCCGCCGTCTGCTTTGCCAGCTCGCGCGTGTTTGAGAGAATGATCACCTGGCAGTCGCGCTCGTTGAGGTCGAGAGTGTGGAGGGTGCCGATGGTAAAAGCGCCAGTTTTGCCCTGGCCGGACTGGGCTTGCGCGAGGGTGTCTCGCACAGCGCAGAGCGGCTTGATCGCACGCTGCTGAATCGGGGTCGGGCGCTCAAAGCCATAGGCGTAAATGCCGCGGAGAAGGTCGTCACGCAGGCCCATTTCGCTGAAGTCCTCGATGGCCTCTGTCAGACCCTGCTTCTCGACGGGCTCAGTGCCACCAGCTGCCTGGCCGACGCCATCACGATTGTGAGGGAGGCTGCCGGCGTTCTCATCGTTGTAGTCGTTGTCCATGCCTGCCAAGGATCAGGGCGAGCGATGAGTTTGGGCAGCGTCGCGAAGCGTGTTTTCGTGGGGAAGGCGGTCTGGTGGGCGCAGGGAAGGCAAGTGGTGGGCGCAAGGGAGGCGGATGGTGGGCGCAGGGAAGGCGGTCTGGGCAGCATGGCAAAGGTCACAGTTTTTTTGGACGCGGTCTGGACACGACCATCGACCAGAGAAAAGAATTTTACAACAAAACCTCCCTCGCACAACCAGAGAAAAGAAAAGAGCGCCCGCAGGGAAAAGGAAAAGAAGAAATGAATTGAGAAAAGGGCGACGTGGACAAGGAGGCGAGGGGGGGATTAAGGGGGGGGGGATAAAACGATATCCGAAACGTCTGCAGGGGATCGGGGGAATGCCATCATGGCATGAAGGGCGGGGATGAAAGACAGAAGAAAGAGAAAAGAAAGTGCGACGGTGTATCATTCACTTTATGCCACCGTTGCATATCCTCGCAAAACCGCTGCATTGGGTCTCGAGTTCGAATCCCGCAGTTCGACTCGGCGCAAAAAACCCAGACGGGCGTTGTCACTGGTTCGAAACCCACCTTAGCGTTCACCTGCTATCCGCCGGTACCCAAACCGGATGCATCTCCGCACGACCCAGGAATGCAGTTTTGCGACGGTGTATCATTCACTTTATGCCACCGTTGCATATCCGGATATGCAA